AGACCCTCAGTGAAGACTTGGGTTGCCCCTACTGAGAAAATAATCTATGTCAGCCAAAGTGCTGTCTGGAAGTGAGACGAACAATGGGTGCTAGATGACAAAGATGATGAACATCAGCTACAGTGTCAGGACCAGCAGGGTTTGGAACTTAGTTCATCAACTGTTTTGTATTAAATCTTTGTGGCATTTTTGGCTAGCTACCAGCATGAGAGGACTTTGGGAGTGGACAAGACAAAAAGAAAAAGAGGGCATGTGCATATTTGAGGGGTAGAAGGGATCAACTGCTAACGGACATCATATTTGGGCTATTTCAGAAGCTCTCAGCCTCATCGCTAGCCCCAACCACTGCTGCAGAGACCAGTTCCAAGGAGTCATTGATGAGTTTTGCAGTCTTGCTTCCAGCCCACACTGCATTCCTCTTTCTCCTGCCCTGGGCTTCTCTAATGTGTTGGCATGAGCTCCCCATTGGGTATACCCTTGGCACTCAAGCATGTATAATCTGGAACTGGGGGTGGGAGAATAATGTTTGTGGGGCCAGCATTCAACAGCAAGGACAGGAGTCCATAGATAAAGCTTATTTTATTCCCAGGTGAACCATTCTGGGGCACATCTCTTAAGCTTTCTCAGTAGGCTTCTCAGACCACAGTGCTGGTCAACTTAATAAAGCTCGTTGCAGCATTGATTTTTCTTCCTTCTCTCTTTTACTTTGCCTGCCCTTTGCTTTTGCTCCCTGGGGTCATCTCCCAAATGAATTGCTTTCAGACTCGCTTTTGTCTTCGCCTCTGTGTTGAGGGAAACCCAGTCTAAAACGCTGATCTTCATAACACAGCATTAATTTCCTCCGGCCACCCAGTTCTGTATTCACTCTTAACTTCCTTTAGAAATGATTCAATGCAATTGTAAGTCAGTGTGCTTGAATAAGGCAATTCCACTTTGGAGAATTAAGGCTGGCAGTTTTCCCTAGAGAAGACTTTCTTCTCTGTTGACCTCATTGCTAATGGCCCCATTTTTGCCCCTAGTCCTTTTTCTTTTAGGAGTTTGAAATAACACACCCAATTTCTTTGAAACAAACAAACAAAGCAAACATCTAGCTAGTCTTTTCACAGTAACCCTGCTCAGAAGGTCCCTGGTAAACATCCAGGATTTAGCAAATAACCAGTATATGAAAGCATTCCCCTTTACCCTTTAGTCGCGGCATTTATTTTCTTTGCTTGTTTCACAGAGTCCTGAAGCCTTGTTTTCCTCCCTTTAAATGACAGACTATTTTCTTTGGCACAGTCCCAGAGCACAGCAACAGTTAAACTTGCTGCTATGTGAAAGAGCTGTATTTGTTTAGAAGTTACTCAGAAGGCCGTGAGAGCAGGCGACCTGGATTATAGGAAATAACCCCAGGAAACTCCAAGTGTTTTCTTTCCTGTCCTTTTGCCAGGAAGCTGGAATTTCCTTGACTAATAGTAACTTGCAATAAGATCAAGATATACGTTAGCCGGAACCTCATAGGATATCAGTGACATACACTGCTTTCTTTTCTTTTTTCTTTTTTTTTTTTTTGGCAATTTTTATGGTTTTACATAAATACAAATAAAACGTGCACATGAGCTGTCTATTCATTTTCTTCACTGCGCAGCCTGGCCTTAGGGTTGGTGACTCTGACGGCCAGCTGGGCTGTTCTTTCTACAATAGCTTTGCGGTTCTTGGAGGAAACGTTGTGAGCAACGTCAGCACAATAAGATTTATTGCACATCAACAGCACTTCTAGCTCCTTAACATTGTGGATCAGGAACTTCCAGAAGCCACTGGGTAGTACGTGCTTTGTTTTCTTGTTGCTCCTGTAACCAGTGTTGGACATCAAGATCTGGCCCTTGAATCTTGTACGTACTCTGTTGTCAATACCTTTGGGTTTCTGCCAATTACACTTAATCATGACATATTGGTCTGACTGGTGCCAGAAGAATTTCTTGGTTCTCTCTTTGATGATCTTGGGCTCCACCAGGGGTCTGAGGGGCAGCCATGATGTGGGGTAGGATATGGCTGCCACCTTGGTAGGCAGTGCTGAGGAAGAGAGGGAGGGGAAGGTCGGCATACATTGTTTTCTTTTCTTTTCTTTTGGAGTCTCACTTCTTCATCCAGGCTGGTGTGCAGTGGCACGTATGCTCACAGTCACCCCAGCGTCAACCTGCTGGGCTCCAGCAATCCTTCCGCCTCAGCCTTCCGAGTAGCCAGAACTACAGACACGTGCCACCATGCCCAGCTATTTTTAAAAATTTTTATTTTATTGTAGAGACGAGGTCTCGCCAAGTTGTCCGCGCTGGTCTTGAACCCTCGAACTCAGGCAATCCACTTGCCTTGGCCTCCCAAAGTGCTGGGATTACAAGCTGAACCCATTGTTTTCTCATAAGCAATTACCTATCCAGACGAAGAGCAGGAATATTGGGGGTAGGATGGAGATTGGCATATTTTAGTTTATGGTTCTACATAACAAATGACTCATAAAAGTCTTCCCATATCAATTTTGGGAGAGTAGATACCATGACAAAGAAAAAGAATTGACCAGGTACATATACATTTATTACACTTGAAGAGAGACCCAGCCAGCATTAAAATCAGAATACACTTCAAAAGGACCAGCAACTGCCCTCAACTGAACCATAAAGAAAAAAGAAATTAGAGACCAAAAACTGAAAATCAGGAGGGTCTATAGTGAATCTGAAATGTAGACGATTTAAACAATTTGAATCCGGGCTCGGTGGCTCAGCCTGTAATCCTGCGCGGTGGAAGGCTCAGGTGAGTGGATTCCCTGAGCCCGCGGGTTCGAGATCTGCCTGGGCAACTTGGCGAGACCTCATCTCTACAATAAATCAAAAAATCGTCCGGGCGTGGTAGCGCATGCCTGTAATTCCGGCTACTCAGAAGGCTGAGGTGGAAGGATCGCTGGAGCCCAGCAGGTTGAGGCTGCAGTGGCCGGGAGCGACCACTGCACTCCAGTCCGGGCGACAGAGTGAGATGCCAACTCCAAAAAATAATAATAATAATTTGAATGTAGACAATTTAAACAAAGGTACTTCACATTAGTAAATGGTGAGTGATAGTATGTTGTTGAAGTCACAAAAACCTAGACATCTAAATTTTTCAAATTGGAAGGATCACAGGATTCTATGGCATTGACCTTGAGTTGGGGAAGGGGTTCAGAAAAAGGAGTAAAATTTGTTCCATTTTTAGCTTCATTATCAAAATTAGAATTTTTCTGACCATCACAAATAACATATAAGAACATTTCTAGACCAGGTGTGGTGGCGCATGCCTCTAATCCCAGTACTTTAGGAGGTCAAGGCAGGATGATTGTTTGAGGCCAGCCCAGGCAACATAGCAAGACCCTATCTCCATAAGAAATTGGAGCATGGTGATGGTGGTGTGCACCTGTAGTCCCACCTACTTGGGAAATTGACTCTGTCTCTTAAAAAAAAAATTCTAAACATGGAAGTATATTTGGTGTTTACCTCATTCATGTGAATCTACTAAGAATTTAAAAAAAGCCAGGCTCGGTGGCTCAGCCTGTAATCCCTCGCCTTTGGGAGGCTGAGGTGAGTGGACTGCCTGAGCCCACGGGTTCGAGACCCGCCTGGGCAGGCGAGACCTCATCTCTACAATAAATCAAAAAATTAGCCGGGCGTGGTAGTGCGCGCCTGTAGTTCCAGCTACGTGGAAGGCTGAGGCGGAAGGATCGCCGGAGCCCAGCAAGTCGAGGCTGCGGTGGCCGGGAGCAGCCACTGTACTCCAGTCTGGGTGATAGTGAGACTCCAACTCAAAAAAAAAAAAAAAGAATTTCAAAAAACAACCAGAACCTCAGAAACCCTTACAGTGGGATTTAAGATAGTGGTATTTGCTTTGAGAATCCTTTTATTAGAATCTACATCAAGAATGTATCATTTTTCTGGACGTATCAGCACAGGTCTTCCATATTTTTTTCTTCCATATTTTTTTCCTTGGGAAAAAATTTCTGTCTTCCATATTTTTTTCCTTGGGAAAGATTTCTTTCTACTTCCAGGACAATGGCTGGATTCTTTGCTGCATCACTTGTCAGTCCCAATGGATCTGCTTCACATATTACCTTCAAGATTGCTTATTTTATCTTCTCCAGGATGAATGTTATACAAATAATAACATATTTGACTTTTATTCAGATTTATTTGTCTTGAGTATTTCTTTTTCTCATTTATTTCATTTTGATTTGTCTTATTTCAATCAATGAGAAGAGATCATCATCGACTTTTACCTTAAGAGATTTAAGTTGTAAACATGTCCAACAGAGGGTGACCTTCAAAAAGACTTTTATTTTGTAGAGACCAGAATTAAAGAGGCAAAACAATTGTGAAATTTCCCAGGTTCAATTCCCTCATAAAATTACAGAGAATGAAAATTGATGACTGAGTATCATTAGTGTCAGCAAAGATCTCTTTAGGAAACATATGCTGCAATTTTAGAGACCAAATACTATAATAATGTTCATTTTTTTCTCATTTCACCGGCACGATAGTCCTTTGGTAATTAAAACTTAAAGATGGAATAATTATTTTTAAAAACATGGTTGGTTAATTAAGTCAGATGGCTATTTCAATGACAAGTTCAGTTGAACTATTTTGCATTGTAGAAATAAAATAGCTGATTGTTTAACAGAACTTTTCATTTTCCAGCTGGAAGTATAGACATCTTATATAGATACATCCAGAACAGAATGAGTAAATGATCACTTTTTGATGATTACAAAGGTTTCATTCTTTCCACTTAAATTCACTAAAAGAATGTCATTATTTTCTGTATCTTAAATTATGTCCTTTCTTCCTATAATGTACCTTCTTGAATTACACAGAATATTTTCTTAGTCATTTATATTATTACCTATATAGCTTTGTCTCTTCTCCCCATGTATACTTCCATTTGATTGCTTTTTCTCTACCTTTGTATTGTTTAGAAAAACAAAATAGAAAAGCCACAAGGCTTACCATTTCTACCAAGGATAGGTATAAGAACATCCCAGCAGTGACTGTGAATATCCAGTCTTGGACACAGGGATCAGCTGATACAGAAAGGCCAATGTATAGTCCTATGAATGCAGTTAAGGCACTTATAAAATTCATCAGGATGGCAGTCTTAACAGAGAGTCCAGAGCTTAAGAGCACAGCAAAGTCTCCTGAAGTTTAAGAGAAAAAGAAAATATAAGTATCATTTAACTGATGATGACTTTGGTAAAGTAATGCACTATTAGACTGTTTCAAATGTCAGCAACTGGAACCGATTTTATAAGGAAACTTGAGTGATCAGTTAATAAAGTACTTTCCACTATTTCTCTAGGATCCATAGCCAGCTCACTGGCCTATTAGAAGTTGAATTTCAAGAGTTCTCTTTTTTTCACTGCTCCTAAAGATAGCATATACAGAGAGTTCTGTAATATATTATTTAGTTCCATGAAAATGTCCTATGACATTTTCAACTTAGAGAAATGCAAAATAAAATCACTTGCTGCCCCAGGGCTTCTAAATCTTTTGGTCTGGAAACTTGCCAGATGAAAATCATTATAGTATATGGACTTTTATTATTGACTTATGTAGAAACTGCTGTGCGAAAAGAGAAAACTACTTAATAAATGGTTTAAAATCATTGCAAATGTTGGTTAGGAAACACGTTTTTTACTTTAGGAAATGGTTTACTCCTTGATAATGATAGGAAAATGGCCTTATTCTCTCCATACTCTTTCTCCAAAAAAAGATTGACCTATTATTAAATCTGAGAGCATCTATTTCTTGTTTTCAGGGATTGAGAATCCAATGGAAATTCAATAAAGAGACAGCCTGCAGACTCAGTTTCCTAGTTCCAGTGCATAACTGGTGCTATAAACAGGTCTTGAAACATCTTTGCTGGCCCACTTCTCACCGTCACACTTCCCTATGGCTTGGGGTTGAGGATCGGGAGCTACGTAACTTTTTATAATTACAAAATATAGTTTATTTAGAAAGTAAATTAGAGAAAGAGAAGAGAGAGGATATAGAGAAAGAGAGAGACTCACTTCCCCAAGGTAGGAGAGGGGGCCACAACTAAGAAAATGATGGTAGTAGCTCAGAAAGCCATGTGGACACACCAGAGTTTAGCAAAGCAATGACTTTTTTTTTTTTTTTTTGGTAAAATATAGTTTATTTAGAAAACAGAGAGAGAAGAGAGAGGACATAGAGAGAGATGAGAGACTTCATCACTCTTATAGTAGCTAAACATAGGTGTTAGCCCTAGGAATACTATTGTAAATAATTCCCACCATTTTGCTAACACAAACTGGGATAGAAACTTACCAGCAAGCACCGACTAACATCCTGTTAACTACAAAACTTTATCTTTAGCTACCCATCCTCCCTTAGCAACCACCTAACCAGCACCCCTTCCCCAAATCCCCATAAATTGCCCTAAACTGTAAGCGATAAGGGCTTCAGTTTTCTGGAGTCCCCTCCAGGTTCACTGCCTTAGAATAAACCTATGTTGCTGATAAGTCACCCGTCTCCTGTCTCTCTTTTTCTTTTTTGAGTTGGAGTCTCACTCTCACCCAGACTTTTTTGCAGTGGCCGCTCCCAGCCACTGCAGCCTCAACCTGCTGGGCTCCGGCAATCCTTCCACCTCAGCCTTCCAGTAGCTGGAACTACAGGCATGCACTACCACGCCCGGCTAATTTTTTGATCTATTGTAGAGATGAGGTCCCGCCAAGTTGCCCAGGTGGGTCTCGAACCCGCAGGCTCAGGCAATCCACTTACCTCAGCCTCCCAAAGCATGGGATTACAGGCTGAGCCACTGAGCCCGGCTTCTCTTTTTCTATCTGCTTGCTTTTTTGACCTAGCAAGAGACCATAGATAGAGGATGACTTCCAGACCAGGAGCATTTTAATGCATATAGGAAGTGTTGTGGATAAATTGCTCCAAGAAGGATAGGCCAATAATGAGTGAATGACAGAACTTTGAACAATGGACACTGGGCACAAGAGTACAAGAGTGCCTAAGGGGCAATATAGATCTGGAAGTGGAAAGAGAAAGAGAGAGTGCTAAGAGCCCTCTTCCTAGAGCACAAGTACACCAAACCAACCTCCACTATTTCTAGTCTGTTACAGAAATGTCTGCTCTATCCCATCCTGGTTCCTGGGAGGCAGGATTTGAATTACAGGGCTGTTAAGATTATCCAGAAAAAGAGTCTTATGTGCATCTGCTACCATACACTTGTCATTTCAATGTTACGCTTGGCTTTAAACATTCTGTATAAATCAGGTTGATGAAACCATAGTTTGGTTTTAATTTAAATGCTATTTTATCTCACTGGCCCATTTGTGGACATGATGGGTAAAGTTCCCCTCTTCATATTTTTTCCACATTTAATATGCAGAATTTAAAGTCCTCGCCCAAATTCTTTAAATAAGGTTTCTCTGAGTGACTCTCACCCATATAGAATTCTCCAGAATCCAAAAAGAATCACTTCTGGCCCTGGGAAATACCATGAAAAGAATCTAATTGAATTTTATCCCAAGGTACAGGAATTATTTTTCTAGTCTTCTTCCTTTTATGGTTTAAATAAATTATAAATGGAAAGTATTCATCTTTCAATCATATGTTGGAAAAAGAATCCTAGTAAACCACAGCTCGAAGTATATTATGCCTTTCTCAACAAGCAGGAATAGTGATTCCATGGTTGAACTTACCCATTTCATGTGGAATTTCATGACACAAAATGGCAATTGTAGTGGTCACTCCTGATTCGGATGAGGCTGAGAAAGCTGCCCCTATCACTAGGCCATCTGCAAAGTTATGTAGGCTGTCCCCAACCAATATCATTATTGCTAATAAGCTAATGGATTGGCCTGGAGAACGAAATAGAAGTGCAAGAAGCATTAATAGATCACTACACATTTCACAGATTCCTTCCCATCCACCCTTGACATTCATTCTTACACTGCTTCTAATGAAATAACTCCACTTTGTTTTTTCACTTTGAAAAGAAGTCAGGACTGGAGATACAGACATGGTAACCCATATGCCTAAATGTTGGTTACTGATTTCTAACTCGTTTGACAAACGAGATAAATGATAAACTGGTATTCACTATCTTTTTTGGGGGGGGGAGGGGCTGGAGTCTTTCACTCTGTAGCCCAGGCTAGAGTGCAGTGGCTCGCTGCTCACGGCCACTGCAGCCTCGACCTGCCGGGCTCAGGCGATCCTTCTGCCTAAGCCTTCAAGTAGCTGGAACTACAGGTATGCACCACCGTGCCCAGCTAATTTTTTGATTTCTTGTAGAGATGAGGTCTTGCCACGTTTCCCAGGCTGGTCTTGAACCCGTGGGCTCAGGCAATCTTCTCACCTCAACCTCCCAAAGTGCTGGGATTTATAGGCGTGAGCCACCGCACCAGGCAGGCATTCACTATTTTATCACCTTGTCCAACTATGCCAAAATAAGAAAATTAAAACAATGTTACAATACTCCAAAATACACTGGTGACCTTCCCATCTGTGTCTTTCCGTATACTTTTAAAATAACTTAAGAACCTTGCTACAAACTGGATGTCTATATCCCCCACAAATTCATATGTTGAAACTTATTCCCCCAGAGGAATGGTATTAGGAAGTAATGCCTCGGCATGGGATTAGTGCCCTTATAAAAGAGACTCCAGAGAGCTCCTTTGCTCCTTCTGCCATGTGAGGAAACAGTGGGAAGGTCCATCTATGAACCAGAAAGTTGGCCTTTGCCTCGCACCTTGATCTTGAACTTCCAGGTTCCAGAGCCATAAGAAAGAGCCGTCTAGTCTATGGTAGTTTGTTGTGATAGCCCGAATGGTACAAGACAAACCTCCCTGTGGGGATATCATTAAAATGAAGTGTATTTTTCACAACTGTTCCTCTGAGTCAGACTGTCCTGTGTCAGTCTACTATAGCTCACTTTCTGCCATTGCATTATTGTCATGTTTCCTTTTCTTACTAGTGCTAATGACTTTCCCAAAGTACCTAATTCATCCCCAGCTATGGCCACAATTGAACTGTGACTAACTCTTCTGGCTGCATTAGATTAGGAATAATTACTCAATGTTCTTGTCTATCTGCAGACAACTTTCAGTACTAGACCTGTTAGATGGTGAATAAAATAAAGAGGGGATTCCATTTTCTTCTTTTTCGAAATATACTATACAAACTTAAACACTTCCTCTCTGAAAGTCACTTTTGTTGCTAGAAGCACATCTCTCACTCTTATTTCTTAAATTTCAAAAAGAATTACACTTAAAATTTGCTGTTGAATAACAGAAATTTATAACAGAAATAATAACAGAAAAGTGCCCTTAGAGCAGCCAAGGGAATGTTTGTCAAACTCTAGGCTCTGCACGTCTCTTTTATTACATTATACATTTCAGCTGATCAGGAGAGAGTCAATGAAATAATTTTAACCCTAGTTGGGTTCAGGTTTTTAGTGGACAGAATTCCTTAGGTTTTTGAAAAAAAACCTAAGTTATATATTAGTATAACTCAATTGTAGAGCTGAACAATTCACAAAAACAAAAAGGATTTTGATGATAACCCGCATTCTGCATTTGAAAGGAATACTCATTAATCAGTTATCATAGTCTAAAACTTAATTAACTATTCAGTTGAATTTATACTGCATGACAGATGTAAGCAGTAGCTGTTGTTACTGTTAGAATGAACATATTATTCAAATAATTGTGCTCAATAAAATAAAATTGTGCTCCTGGTTCCTAACAATGCGAGGGGAACTGTATTATAATAGTTTTCTATCTTATTTGGGAATGTGATTTCACTCATTTCTTATTTCACACCATGAAATAAGTCACTTCATTTAGTAAACAGCAAACATAGCCCAGAGTACCATACAGGAGATGGCTCTATTGCCTGCATTGCAAAGATAGCCTGTGCATTTTACTTTTAAAAGCATGGGTATGTAGACAGATCACTGCAGGACTGACTTATATCCTTCTTGTGATTTATTAATTTATTTTATTCTTTGTTAAAAACGGGCAGATTTCAGGCAACAATCATAAAAACACAGAATAAATACCAACTTATTAAATTCAGGGAGTTCTTATTGGCGTTGCCTGGAAGCTCTCAGAGCCCAAGATTGCTACCAGGTTACTTGGGTGTTCCTGTCAATTTTCAGAATAAAGTTCTTCCTGGTGAAAATAATTTTTTTAACCATTTAAAGTGATACATTTGGGTATCTGTACGATGAATGTTTATATAACCAACCCTGAATTGTACCCCATAATTTGAAAATAAAAAAATAAAAATAAATAAAATAAAGACATACATGTAACAACACTCCAGCTTACAAACAAAATTGTGATTTCTACATGCCTACATTTAGTCTTAATATCTATAGCATATACTCCAATGGAAGATTTTTAGCCAATATATATACTCTGCTGGGAAACAGTGTGGCCTATTTTTGTCATTTTATTATTCCTGATTATGGGTTTCTAAATGTCAGGTTATGGATACATAACAAGCCACAAGGCAAATATACACACTTGCATGCAAGCCACCAAGAACACATTGCACATATTTCTTAAAATAATTTACACATTATTTAGTGGAAGAAAAGACAGGTATTCACCAGTCATTTAATGCACCCATTACAGAATTATCTATAATATTTCACCTTTACTCATAGGCCTGACAGTCATACTAAGTTCCACATTTCTGCACTATCAGAGGTTTTTCATGGTGAAACATGGACTAGAAGTGGTATCATTTTGCTTTTTGTTTATTTAAATCAGACTATAGATAGGATTTTTGTACCTTGTCTTTTGAAACCCAAGTTGAGTTCCACCAATGAGGTAATATGAAACAAGCAATAAAATATTTGAGGCTAATTCAATATGTCCCTGGCAAAAGGGCAGGTGAGTAATCTAATTGGGATTTGTTCACTATTCATTCTGTATGCCAAGTTTGATAGGAAGTAGACCTATAAAATGTTTGAGAAATTATTACTCCCTGAGCTAGTAACCTTTCCCTGATCCTAATTTGACGGCACATCCACATTTCCTCTTCCTTTTTTTTCAAAACCAAAAGAAAAAAAAGAGTCTATTGCAGACCTACTATGTGGCGAGCATTCTAAATTCACTCTTGAAACTAAAATTTTAGAAGGAAAAATATATCGTAATGTTCTAAAAGCAGAAAGAAACAGAATATGTAATTACATATTTCGAATCAAATAAATAAATTACATGACATAATATATTTAAAACACTAAGAATAGTAGTTGCTACAATAGTCTTTTTTCTTACTTGTATTTCTACCCCCAACCACACTGCAAACTAGGGATAAACACCATGCTTATTTTATTCTCCAGTGCATTCCCAGTGCCTGAAACATGGCACAGCTTCAAATATTTCTTGAATAAATAAAAGAAGGGGAGAAAATACATGGGTGCGTGCATGAATTAATAATCACAGATTGTTGTTGCCTTTGCATGCATTTAGTTCCCCAATGCTAGAGTTTACTAGCAATATACTCCTGAGCAGTGACAACCACTCTAACAATTGGTTAGTTCATTTGTATAATTCAGATAACATTTCTTTTTCTTCTTTTTTTTTTGTTTTTTTTTTTTTGAGCTAGAGTCTCACTCTTTTGCCCAAACTGGAATTCTGTGGCATGCTCAATGGCCACCACAGCCTCCACCTGCTGGGCTCCAGCAATCCTTCCACCTCAGCCTTCCAAGTAGCTGGAACTACAAGTGTGTGCTACCGTGCCCAGCTAGTTTTTATTTATTTATTGTAGAGACAAGATCTTGCCACGTTGCCCAGGCTGGTCTCAAACCCACGGGCTCAGGCAATTTACTTACCTCAACCTCTCAGGCTGAGGATTACAGGCTGAGCCACCGAGCCCAGCTAACATTTATTCTTAACTCATGAAGTTGTAGGAGAATTAAATGAGATCATTCTGTCAAGTGTTGAGCATTGTGCCAGGCATATAAGAAGTGCCCAATACATAGTAAATTTTTAAATTATTGGGTAACTAAATTTTTATGGTAGATTGGGAATAACTAATCGTGATGCTTAACACTAAAACCTTCAGAAGCTCATGTCACAAAAAAAGGTAATATAATATAAACGAGGCAAAGATTCAGGAGCAACTGGTGAAAACCAATACAAAAAAAAAAAAATACTTCAAAGAATTATTCAGAAATAGTTGAGACAAGAGATTGTGTGAAGCCAAGAGTTTGAAACTTGCCTGGGCAACATAGCAAGACCTCATATCTACAAAAAAACAAATTAGCTGAGAATGGTGGCGTGTGTCTATAGTCTTCGCTATTTGGATGACTAGCTTGGGAGGTAGGTTGAGTCCAGGAGTTTGAGACTGCAGTGAGATATGATTGTGTCACTGCACTCCAACCTAGGTTACAGAATGAGGCTCCATCTCTTAAAAATAGTAAAAATTATCAGAAACATAAGCAAAGAGGAACACATTCCTATCCAAATTGGTAAATTAAATTCTGAAGTAGAAAAATTCATAGAAAAAAGTTAACTTTTGTTAATTGAGAGTTAAATGAACAAATGAGTTATATAATAAGATATAAACAATAAGATATCACTGATTGGAACTCTGCTGTCTCAGTGACAATATAATAAAGGAGACAGACATGCATTTGTAATACATTTTCGGTATACTGCAATAGAAGATAAAAACCAATGATGTCTCCATATTTTATAGTGAAAGAGAAGTCTCAGTCATCACATAAAGAAGATTTTAAAAGAGCCCTGATAAACATATATGTATTTACACTTATTGAACTTTTCAGGGGATCAGTTTTAAATGACCGGGGAAAACTTTTTATTTTTATTTTTTTGAGTTGGAGTCTCACTCTGTCGCCCAGCTGGCGTGCAGAGGCACACTCACGGCCACCGCAGCTTTGACCCGTGGGGCTCAGGTGATCCTTCTGCCTCAGCCTTCCAAGTAGCTGGAGGGAAAACATTTTTTAAAGGATAAAGTTGATATGAATATGTAGTACATTTGAGAGATAAGAATGAGTCTTTATTAACAATCTTATTGCAAAGTTTTAAATAATGAAATGAATACGGTTTGACATACTTATTTTAAAACAGACATAACTTTTTTCTATGGCACTTTCTATGTGTAAAGTTTAGCTTTTTAAAATTGGTACTCACATTTTCTGTTGGTAGCTGCCATATTGCTTATAGGAATTTCAGCTGCCTGTGAATCTTCTGGGCCTTTCTATTTTAAATTTAAAAATAACTGATGAAAGATAAGTAATGATCATCATTTTATTGATAAATGAAACATTTGAAGAGTTGTATGGATTTTTAAAAGATATTTTAATACTCTAGACGCATATTAGAACCTCTAAGTTTCATAGACAACATGCAATGTAGAGAGGAAAGTGTGTGAATGGAGCATGCTTTTTTTTACTGTTCATATTTAGATCAAAATAACACTCATAGGTAGATGAGAATCTTCCATAGAGAGCTGAAGGTTACTGGGATAGTCTATAATTTAGACTCTTAAATTATGTAAGCCTTTATGAGGTTCAAAAGCTGCAGAAAAAGGAATTCTTGACCTAATTTGGCACTTCTCCTGTATGGTGAATTGTGGATTTAAGATTCATTCTCTCATCTGTAAGCAGATGGTGTAGTCTAAGATGCAGAAGAAACCCATGCCAAATCAACACCTCATTTCATTCACCGTGGCTTAATATTCTGTTTTAATTGCTTTGCCATTCAGTAAAAGAATGTTGCCAATTAAGAAAGTAAATCTACAGACTTACAAAAGACAACTAAAATGGATTCAAAATTGTTTTTCATCTTGTTATATGACAGAGGCATGCGGTTTTGAAGTGGACTTTTATGAGTTAAGATTACATGATTTTATTTCAAAGACTGACTTATAGTTCAATTTCTGGAAAGTCACTTTCCTTCTCTACACCTCAGATTCCGATTCTATTATATTGGGAAAAATTACTTTTTATCTGCCTATTAAACATATCCTTTTAAAAAGCATATTCATATAGTTCTATCACCCAACGTTGTGGAAACTTTGACACTAATGTGAGACATAAGCATTTTTTTTTAATGTAAAAGAGAAAGCAAATTTCACATATTAATAAATAGTTCCACATATTAGAATAACCACAGCTATTCAAAAAATGTAATGATAGGCTGTTTTGGGAGACAGATGGCCAAAAGTAAGCAGGGCCTGTAGGATACAGTTATCAGAGGAAGTAGACAGGCTTCTCAACTGAAACTGGGTAGATATGGAAACAGAAAACAATGCGATCCCTTTATGTTATATCAAAAGGCTAAGTATAATCAAAATGTTCTATGGTTCTATTAAAAGACAGGAATTTAAATTTTATTTTAGAATGTTTTTTTTTCCAAAAAAGCTATATATTGGCATACTATGTAAAGGAATTTAGAGCAAACAGCCAAGACTCTTTGTTGATTGGGAAGAATAGCAAGTTCTCCTCCTTAACCCTATATTTTCCTGGAAAAAAAAAAACCAGGAAATTGAACTCATCAAGCAATCCTAAACGTTCTTACGATTTCTATCTTGCTTTATGTTGATCTTGTAGCTTAAATAACAAAAAGAAAGGTGAATATATTAGTGAGCTAGAGTGTTCAAATAGTTCAAAACTCACTAAGTTGGCTTCAGAGATTTGCTTGTATGTATCTTGGAGCTCTGGACTCTTCATTCAAACAGAAGGAATACAGTCAGCATTAAAGTGATTTTTAAACGAATCCAAGCCTGAACTTATCTTCTTTCAAATCAAACATTTAAAATATCGAAGCAATACATCCAATAAGGCTCTTAAAATCATATTTTAAAGGAAATGTTTTGCTCATATTTCTGAGTTAGCTTTAGATCTGCAATTATTGCTAAACTTCTATTTTGCTATGTTAATGTCTCAGAAATAGCCTACTTATCTGTACTCAGAAATCTTTCCTTGGACTGTAAACTTCCTACAACAAGGTCATAGTTATAAGAGGCAAGTTTTCTTTATTTCTTTTGTTTCTTTCTTTTTTTTTTTTTTTTTTTTTTGAGTTGGAGTCTTACTCTGTCACCCAAGCTGGAGTACAGTGACACACTCATGACCACCATAGCCTTGACATGCTGGGCTCAGGTGATCCTTCCACTGCAGTCATCTAAATAGCTGGGACTGCAGGCATGCACCACCACACCCGGCTAATTTTTTGATTTATTGTAAAGATGAGGTCTCACCAAGTTGCCCAGGCTGGTCTTGAACCCCCTGAGCTTAGGGAATCCTCTCGCCTCTGCCTCCCAAACACCTGGGATTACAGGTTTGAGTCATTGGGCCCGGCCAAGAGGCAAGTTTTCTAACAATTATGTATTACTTTCTTATTTGTCCTGTCCCTCTACTTATTATTTTAAGAATTAGAAAGGAACAATTGTCTGGAACTTGACTGGAAGTTGTCTTTTGAGAATGCGGAAGATTTTGTGGCTGAAAATTCAGTATGATCGTTGGCACTTAGTATGAAACATCTCATTGGGCACAAGTAGTTCTCTCCTGTATTATGAAATGAACACTCCGGTTGTAGAAGCATTAATATCTCTTGCTCAACATTAATTCTCAGCCACCTAGTCACAGCTAAGGATCACTCAGAATGGAAAACGGAAGAGTCAACTGTTTTATGAAAACTTGTAAACAAAAGGATTAAGGGCTTGTATATTATGTCAGTCTGATTCATACATGTTTCAAAGTAGTACAGATAACAATGATTTGAATTCTACAGACAGTGCAGAGTAAAAACAGATTACAGGTGCTTGACAAAGTTTTCCAAATGGTATTTATCATGGTCAAGAAAGGGGACATCAGAAGTGGAATCTATTTATCTCCCCTACTGATTGTCCTCTGTTCACAGAGAAGCAAAGGAAGGAAGGTAATCAAATCAGTAGAATGCTTCAGATCAATAACCTACCAACTGGATAGTTGAAGCAGATTTGCCTCTGCCTGACTGGTCACTTAATTCAGAGTTGAGTGCAAGGTGGTGGGAATGTCCCACATGCCCATTAACCAACGGCAGTCCCTGCTGGATGAAGATGGGTTAAAATGAGTGCTGAAGGCAGAAGAACACGGGCACAGCCTTTGTCAAGACCATGGTTCTATATAATAATTTGCTTATTGCCCAAAGTGCCAGGTGACACAAAAAGAGAGCTGGGATGCTTCAAGAGTACAACTTCAAAAACATCTAGTTATGATGAAAATAGGCTGGAACATTGGTAGTTTTTAGATTGCTGTTTTTATTTCCTAAAAAATTACATTTATACAAAATTAAATTCTGATTTCTTTCTGATGGAGATGCCAAAATGAGAACAACAGAAACTATAAGGTACCTTGTCACTACTAAAATAATATAACTGGAATTGTACTCATCCGTTAAAGCACGTGTGGCTTCTAAAGCATTTGCATTCCTTTTATCTTATGCAATATCATAAAATGAGTTTTCAGAACATCATTTCAAGATTTAAGCCCACAGACAATCTGAATAAATTCTAAATTTTTGACTGCTCAGAATTTATTTTACTTGCTTTCACCATGGATAAATGTCAAACTATTGTATTATGTATAGATTGCTATGTTGTCTTTCTGATTTCGTTTTCCCAATCCAGCAGTGATAATCTATTGTGTATAAATGGGATCTGTTATTGTTTTTTTATGTTTCTTGAGGTTGCAACTCCTTTTGTGGAGATTAAGTTTCTAAACTTTTATGATGAGTTGTATGATAAGAGCTGACATTCCTAATTTCCAAACTGCTATACCATCCTAGCTTGAGCCTCAGGCCAAAGAAAAACCCTACTTTTGACTGAAACAGAAAAGTTTTACAAAAGTTGATTGGCAGTCTATTTGAAATCTTGACATCTATTTATTATGGAAAAATTTTTTAAACGTACAGAAATGTGGAAAGAAGCTGACTGTGGTGGTGCATGCCTTTAGATCCAGCTACTTTGAAGGCTGAGGCAGAAGGATCCCTAGAACCCAGGAGGTGAAGGTTGCAGTAAGTTGTGACTGAACCACTGCACTCCTGGCTGGGTGACAAAGTGAGATCCCAACTCAAAAACAAGAAGAAAACCTGAAAGAATTGTAATGTGAATACTCAGAGATACCCACTTCCTGGAACCTACCATATTTTCGCTAAACCTGTTTTATCACACTTGTAGCCATCTGTTATCCCTTTATCCATTTAGAAAGCCATTTTTATTTTTTGATGCATAAAATAGAATTTGGAACAAATTTAGAAATGATAAACAACAACTGCTGATATTTAAAGGCTACTAATATTTCCCTTGGGCACAGGCATTATATATCATTGTTGCCAGTCATTATGTGAACAAAGTGCCAGGGGTACAGATGTAGAAAACAGTAGAGAGAGAATCTCAGTGCCCCAGAACTCTGTAAGGAAAATGTGCTTTATTTTAATCTCCTGAAGTTCTTCACATTTACCTTTTAACCATCCCACCATGCAGGGCATCTTTTTTTTTTTCCAGACAATAATGTGAAAGAGCAAAATAATCCATAAATGAACCACACTACTTTTTACATTTTATCATATATGTTTATCAAATGCAGACACAATGAAAGAAATTATTCATGCTGAAAAAAGATTTGCCACAAATCTCATCCTGAACTTCTTGTTTTTGTAACTTTAAATGTCCTTAAGCTGGAAAATGGCAAGCAATTTTGTGAATTGTCAAAGTTTTTGTTTGCTTGTTAATTTGTTTTTGCTTAGCAAAAAATTTCAGAATACTAATTAGTAGCTAGGACTTTGGGTCCCTTCATTCCCCAGACATGAAATAGTCTCTTCATGGTTTCTAAACTAAACATGAAGATTAAATAGAAGGTTGTAACAAGTACGTTAACTGCCCAGCAACAGGTGTCTAAAGAAAATTAAAACCCATACTTATAGGAAACTTGCCAGTTAGAATGATCTGTGTATACTTGAAATCGGTGCTGCATCCCTTACACAGACGACTTCATGAAGATGTCATTATTTTTGAACAAGTACTTTTGAAATAAAAGATGAATATTATAAATCTCTGAGACAAGAGAAAAAACAACTTAAAATATACCTTGTCATTTGGTGACACAAGAAGAATAAAACATTTTTCTATCAAGAAAAATCCATGGATGCCTCCAATTAGCCCTAACAATTTCCAAATATGACCATTGTTTTCATGGAAATGTCCAAACTCTGGGGCTTCCTGCTTATGTAAATCAAGAACCTTAGGGGGGAAAAAAATGAAAGAAAGAAAGAAGAAAATAACTTTTGATGACTTACAAGTCAAACAGTAGGCCTAATGTTGACTATTTTAAACTTTCATTCTAGGAAATCCCATGACAACTGAAATTACTCAGTGCCCGGTTGGGCATTTGAGTATATGACTACTTCCATTATATAGTTGATTCAGGGTCAAATAAAATGTGTACAAAAGAAAACAAAGGAGAGCTTTGAAAAACTTGTGCTGATGAATAGAATGAAGCCTAAGCTTTACTTCAGCAAGTGGCCTAGATTTTCTTACAGTCTCAGTCCTTTCACTCATTTTTTTCAGGAGTTCAAGCCACATCTGTTTGCACAACAATGTTTCATAAGATATTAATATAGTTTATATCCAGAATACATACAAGAATATATATATATATATGAACACACATATACATGCATATATAAATATGGTTTGTTCTCACCATGTCCCACTGCAATTAAAGTAAACCTTAAATAAATATTTATAGAAGTAAGAAATCCACCTAGAAGACTTGTTCCACTGAGTGTGTAGTGTATGATCAGCAATAGCGTCAGCTCTTTGGTACACAAAAGAATATCAAAAATACATTATGGCCTGGCATGGTGGCTCACGCCTATAATCCCAGCACTTTGTGAGGCCAAGGTGTGAGGATTTCCTGAGCCCACAGCTTGGGCAACTTGGCAAGAACTCTGCAACAAATCAAAAAATTAGCCGGGGGTGATGCTGTGTGCCTGTAGTTCCAGCTACTTGGTGTACTGAGTGTACCACTGCACTCCAGTCTGGGCAACAGAATGAGACTCCAACTCAAAAAAAAGAAATACAACATAGTTGACTCACCCATTCCATTAGTTGGTTCATGCCATTGGTTGACCTCATTATTTCTTACGAGCTATGAGATCATTAGGTATCATATTTCTTCTCTAAGAGAAGGCAATTTGTGATATAACTCAGTGATTTCTAGATTTAGGGTGTTAAAAAAAGAAATTATATGTGTATAGATTTTATGTATATATGTTCATGTATATGTAGGCATTTATGTGTGCATGTATGTACATTAAAAATCAATATATGTTGTCAACTTTATTGGGGAAGGGGAAGGGCACTAAAGGGGACCTACCTAATCCTTGCAATTATCATTATTTTACAAAATAGAAAATATTTTGCTATCACAAGAAAAATCCACAATCTCAGAATAAAATGTAGATCTTTAAGTTGAACAAATTTAGCTGATTAAAAAAAGAACTCACGCAAGTAGTGTTTTTCTCATTTCTGTGCAGACCTTTGAAAACTTGTCATGGACACTGATTTTTCCAGCTTGCTGCTACACCTGTACTACATCTTTCTTTTTCTTTCCAATAAACTTGTCCTCACTTCTTTTTTGGGGCCGGCCAGGGGGGAGAAACCTTTTTACATTTCATGAAACCAAGCTAATCTCTCCAAATCTCTTCTGCAACAAGCTCCACCCATCCCCAAGTCCACCCTCTGCCCCTTGCTGCGCACTCCTCCATCAAGGAAGACCCAGGCAGCCTTGAGAGTCTAATGCTGTTTCCCAGGATTCTGGACAGTAAACAATTCTGCAGCCACTGCTGTGACCTAGAAAAAGGTTTCGGCCACTGCCTCAAGCCAATTATAAGCCCTGAAATATTTCCAGAAAATTAGATTACAAGGGAAATTAAAACTAATAATGGTTTGTTTTATTTCTCCAGTGCTCACTTTGCGAATTTCAGAACATAGAATAATAACTGAGCCTCTAAGCAACAAGAATGATTCTGTAGGAAGTTGCCAAAGACTTGTGGAAAAATTTAACATCTCAGCCTTTGCAAGAGGAGGGAATCATTTGTCCACTGTCGTTATCGCTGGTAAGAGATTTCAGAGGGAATAGGTAACTTCAGCTGGGGAGCCTTCTGCCTGAAGTCCTGCAACTCAGGTCTTTGTCTTTTCATTTCTGACAAACAGTCTTGGGAGACTTGGACAGAGGGCCAGCTTCCTGGTGCTGACATGTTTCTTTAAGGAAATCTAGATAAAATTAGTCAGGCAAGAAAGAGAACACCATTTTGATGACTAGAGCATAGGGATGCTAATGATGCAGGGACAAGGGCATAAACAAGGGATAACAAGAGACCAGCAACTCCAGGAAATGATTACCACCCCTGGGGCTGAACGGGCAAAGGAAGAAAATCATGCTTCTGAAGCTTGGTAGGCAGTGAAGCTGTGGAAGAGCCCTCTACTAGAGATAGTACTACAGCTACTTCCAGAGCAGACGCCAGAGCCAAGAGGACACTGGGAAGAAATCCTGCTGTCTCTCTTCTTCTACCCTGGGTTTTCCATTGTGCCTTCCATTGGCTGAACCAGAACAAAAATCCAGCCTACAAGGAAGCTGAGGGAGATGCAGCCTTCTAGGACAGAAAAGACAGCAGAGAAGGGCAGGGATAGATCTGAAGGGAGGGGTGGGGGAGGGAACTGGAGATAAACAACATCTGGCAGCCCATTCATTTTTATTTATAGATACTTAATATATTCATATGCTTCCTGAATCTTTCGGAATAGGAATCTAGATCGAATCACCTTTTCTTTCTTTTATTTCAAAAATAACATGGGGCAAATCTAATATTTGTTCATCTCTTCTCTCCTACAAGTGCAGAGAAGCTTTAGGGAAATAATATTCCTTTCCAAGGAAAACACCGGCCACTGTATTTACTCATTGAAGTCACTGCGAAATTTTGTATAATACTTCCAGTGATTTAACATAAAGAGAAATTAGACACATTGTGCAGATTACCTGAGGAATAAGGTGAAGCAGAGCATCCCCAGAAAGTGTTCCAACGGCCAAACCCACAAATAGCTGTAAAATAAGCTTGTAGTTCTCCTCACATCTGTGGAAAAGGACCAGCACTGTCCCAAGCATGGAGCCCAGCGTGAGAAGAGTCACAGCCACCGTGCTGTAGCCATATTCTAAGTCAAAGGAGATCACGAAAACAGTCAGTGTCCACTGCCCTCAGGTGGAGAAAATGCCAGAAGAACCTATCTTACAATAACAGCTGAGAGGGCTATGGAATTTTAAAACAAGTGTGATATGAGATTAAAAGGTTTTGTTTTGGCCGGGCGCAATGGCTCAAGCCTGTAATCCCAGCACTTTGGGAGGCTGAGGCAAGAGGATTGCCTGAGCCCAGGTGTTCGAGACCAACCTGGGCAACTTGGTGAGACTTTTTCTCTACAATAAATCAAAAGATTAGTGGGACGTGGTGGTGTGTGCCTGTGGTTCCAGCTATTTGGAAGGTTGAGCCCAGCAGGTCGAGGCTGCGGTGGTAGGGACAGAGTGAGACTCCAAACAAACAAACAAAAAAATTGTTTAATTTTTAACTAAAAGAATGAACAGACTTGCTGTGGTCTGAATGTTTGTGTCTTCCCAAAATGCAAACATTGAAACCTAAGCACCCAAGTGTGGGTATTAGGAGGTGGAGCTTTAGGGGAAGTGTTTGGGTCATGAGGACTCTACCCCCCTTGAATAGGGTTAGTGCCCTTATAAGGGGATGAAGAGACCAGCTATTCCCTTTAACCAGGTGGGGACACCATGAGAAGCACCATTTATGAAGTAGGAAGCAGGTCATCACCAGATGTCAAATCTGCCAGCGCCTTGATCTTGGACTTCTCAACCTCCAGAACTGTGAGAAATATATGTTTGTTGTTTATAAGACACTAGTTTATGATATTTTGTTATAGCAAGGACTAAGGTAAAACTTTTACCAAAAAATCCTGCTGCTTTGAAGTTGCCCTGACTACCCCTTACTAAATCACTGTGCCAAACATGGGTTGAGCTCCTACCCCACCCTCAAAGGAATTCATTTCTCTCACTTGAAGTTACAGCATCCATTGACAGTCACTAATAATGATTTCCATCTAATCACATTATTAACCTCTTGAAGACAAGAAAACAGTATTATAGAAAAAACAGTTTGTTCCCCTTGTAGACCCATGTTTGTGTACAAAATGAATACACACTTTGAAAGAACTTCTTTCTAAAGGATCTCAAAATTATCTGTCATATTCAAAGTGATTCTTCCTCTTCTCTTCTTTTTTTTTTTTTTTTTGAGTTGGAGTCTCACTCCGTTGCCCCAGCTGGAATGCAGTGGCATGCATGCTCACGGCCACCCCAGCATCGACCTGCTGGGCTCAGAGGATCCTTCCACCTCAGTCTTCCAAGCAGCTGAAACTACAGGTGCACATTACCACACCTGGCTAATTTTTTTTATTTATTGTAGAGGTGAGATCTTGCCAAGTTGCCTACGCTGTTCTGGAGATTATTATTCTTAATAACTAAAATGATTAGGTTTATTGGTGAAAACTGACCGATAAATGTGAAACAGTTAATAGTATAAATCTTAACAGACTATTCTTTTGGACGATTGCAATAATTTTTATAATCCTTAAAATGTTATGTTTTTAGGCATCCAGGATTTTTAAAAATATTCAGAAAGGGCAATTTTTAAGATTATTCAAACAAAAACAAATATATATGAAGGGAGAAGAAATAAAGGAGTCAAGGTAACAGAAAAGATTAAAAGAAAGAAAAAATGACTTTCAGAGTCAAGTATAAGTAATACGGGCATAAAGAGTTATTCATGCCATTATTTTCATTTGGTTGCAGATATTTAAAGCGAGTGCTTTTTCCCTGCTTATTTAGAAATTACTAACAGGTCATGGCAGACTTGTTTGCAAACAGTGAGGACGGGTAATTACAAAGTCAAACTATCATTTATTTTTAGTGATGATATATAAGTTAAATCAAACCATTCCATTCATGTCATTCCTAAGAAGCTAGCTTTTTAAAGTTTGTTACAATAGAAAATGTTTCATTTTCATCATTTTTGCATTTCTCTAGAAGTTAACCTTTTACATTAGATCGTGTTAATAATACAGCTGGTAACACAGTAATAGGCTTATAATTTTAAGAGGTCTTTTGTTGAACTATAAGTTCTAAATCTTACAGCTGTCTAATATTAAAAGAGAGTTGGTCATATACCAGAAGGGCAAAAAAACTTTCACTCTTTCATTCCCACATCTTTGCTGCCACACTTTCAGTGCTATGAAACAGTGAAAATTTATAAGGAGGGGGAGATGGAGAGTTATTCTTCCATGGATAGAGTTTCAGTCTTGCGAGATAAAATGCTCTAGAGCTCTGTTACACTACAATGTGAATGTATTTAACACTTCTGAGCTGTGTAAACGCAGATGGTTAAGATGATCAATTTTACAAAATGTGCATTTTACAATTTAAATGCTTAAAAAATTTAAATGATTTAGAATGGTCATACATCTATAGAGAAGTTTTCTTTCATTCTAATTTGGTAAAAACAACCATGTTATAGAAACATCCTGAACAATCTTCCATCGAGTTTTATATTCTATTCCTCCCCAAACAGACTGTATGTAGGAATGTCATTCTTCTCATTTATTACAAAAATTAAAGCTATTTTGATTTTAACATGGGCATCTGGGTGTCTAATAAAATTCAAAGTTGTCACTTTTTTCATGGTAGCTACAATGACCATAAAATACCAGGAACGCACAAGGACAAAAAGCAAATGATATCTCCCAGGCACAAGACAAAGTTTCAGGTTCTCTCCTCTTTGCCCTGGGGGCAGCTACAGTGTGACACTGGAGAATAGTTGTTCCAGAACTTCAGAGCTCATCAAATCTTTTTAGATCCTCTGTGATTCAGATTTCACTTGCTCTCATGTAGTAAAAACAGTCTGAAAATCATAAAACCTCTGACTTTTGTAGCCATAGGACGCTGCTAAATTTACCCCAAGGTCCCTGCCTAGGTTCCATGGGGTCTTGGAGTCAGGGAACTTGCCAGCAGGTTCTGTCTAAATGTTTCTCATTATTACAATAGAACCTACTCATTAATTCTTTCTTCTGGGAAGCTCCTTTGAGTAGGTCTGAAACTTGATTTATATATATGGCCATACAGCTCTTTCCTGGAAACTCAATTGAAGGTGGCACTTAGGGGTTGAGTTTCAGAACAATATTCTCTTAATATTGTCTCCCTGTGTACTTGCCTCTTCAGTGTAACATCATACATTTTTGTAATTTCAAAAAGCCACTACAAGCCTTGTCCTATAATTATATAATGCAACATTTTCAATTGAGAGCCATAATTTTTTTCTAGGTTCTTTAGTGAGTGTGACTTCTTGGGATTTTTCTCAGAAAGGCTATTTCCTAGAAGGATCTAAAAAGTTCATTTGAAAGGGTATACAACTTTTTTCACAAGTCTTAAGTTTAAAATCCTTTTCTGAGTGGTTATTATGTACCAGGCGCCATCCAGGTGGTGGGAACATAAATATGCCCATGGAAACTTCTAGGTGCCGCAGTTTTGTCCTCATCTATTCTGCAAGCATTGCTGCCTGACCACCAAGTGCTGAATTATTTAGCTGCTCACTGTTAATGAAGCTTTTTTCCTCTCAGTGAATGTGGAGCCTTAGATATTTAGGCCTGGCTTTTTTTTCTTTTCTTTTTTATTATCACTTTGTCAGCCAGGCTGAAGTGCAGTGGCATGCTCACAGACACTACAGCCTCTGCCTACCTGCTGGGCTCAGGGGATCCTTCTGCCCCAGCTTTCCAAGTAGCTGGAACTATAGTCATATGCCACAATGCCCGGCGAATTTTTTTTATTGTAGAGACAAGTTCTCTCCAAGTTTCCCTGAACTCAGGCAATCCTTTCACCTTCCCCTCCCAAAGTGCTGGGATTACAGGCATGAACCACTGTGTCCGGCTTGGCCTGACATGTTTTTGATCACATAAAACCTGCAAATGAGCCTTGATGCTGCAGAATCCACTCTAAGTTAGAGGTGAGTAGCTGAACAATTCAGCTATGGTGGTCACTGCAGGCTATTTCAAAGAGAAATAATTGCATATCTGAAAAAAGTAGATATATAAGGACCTCAAATCAGTGGACACTTTAAAGGTTGCAAATGTTAAGTGTCACGATTTTATTATGCATCATAGATGTTCTTAAGCCATCATTTTTTTATTGGTCTTTTAAATATACAGTACTTTAAATTGACTGAACACGTTGTTGTACACATTATCCCCTTTGACTCTCATGGGTACCCTGGGAAGCCTTATGTTAGATCTCATCTACTGCAATGACTCAGTAAGATACAGGCAAAGGCAAATATTGATCCCTTCATTTCCTGTGGCCGCCAGTCATGTCTGGGAGGCTGGTACCTCCCTGGATGGGTCATCTCCATCCCAGAACAGCCCAGTGTGCTTTGGTTTACTCCAATGTAGTCTTCATTTTTTATGTATGTCATGACATGAGAAAGGAAGGCCTGTAGGATATCACTGCTTTCTCTGCGCAGAAAAATAAATTGGCTCAGAGAAGTAGAGATATTGCTTAAGATCCCAGTGACTAGGGAGAGAAGGCGTTACTCAGCTCTGTGTTCTAGATTCCAACACTAATGCTCTTTCCCTTATACCATGTTGCTTCTCTTCTATAGACTTTTAAGTTGGTCTTTGATCAAGTCAAATATGGGGGGGGAATCAATTTATATAAATTGTATACAAAATACAAACTATTCATTGAAAAGTAGTGTAGCACTGTGATTAGAAACAAGGACTCTGGGGCCAGCTTGCCTGGGTTTGAGTCCTAACTCCAATAATAACCAGATCTGTGTCATTTAAATTTCTCTGTGTCTCAGTTTCCTCATTTATAAAATGGGGATAATGAAAATGTCTAGCTCGTAGCCTTGTTAGAAGGATTAAATGAATCCATAAGTGTAAAAAACTTAGAACCGTGCCTGGTTTATAGTACATATCCTGTGTTTACTGTTATTATTATATACACTGTACACATCAGTTTTCTGAGTGAAGAACCAGAACTTACTCTCCAGAGTGGTAGGTGGCAACTTTGTTTGCTGGTCCTTGGGCAGGTGGCAAGAACAGCTGAGAAGTTGCTGGATGATCCCTGGACTCATTTGCTTAAAGTCCTCCTTAGAAATGGGTGAAAGGCTGTTCTGCACAAATATCTCCATCAGCTGCCTAGCAGAGAAGCAAGTCTACATAGAAGAAACATATACTGTTACCAACCTCAGCACTAAACCAGATTCCCCACCAACTATCATTCTTGAGGAGTCAGAACTAGAAGGAATGGCTAAAATGAACACATGAAGCCATCATGATACATTTCTCTGCAACCTTTCGTCCATAAATAATTTCCAAGGATGTTTTAAAACTCTGATCAAAATGTGCTGTACCTCTTTTTTTTCCTGAGTATTTGCTACGAATTTTGTATACTTGTTTTTCTGAAAAGACACAATGTGTTTTAAATATGTTGAGTGGTATTCTAACCAGCAGCCTAATGAAGTCTTGATGTTTTTGTTGTTTTTCAGTGGAAATAGCTTTATATAAGAAAAGTTAAGACTTCATATGATAAACAGGAGCTCTGTGGTAATGAGATCATTGTCTTTAATACCCTCTGATTTAATAAGCCTGTGTAGGCAATGTGTCTTTCCAAAAGTAATCAAAGTTAAGTTACAAATTTTTAAGTAAATGCTGTGTCAGCTAGCTGGAGTGTAAACATTAGATAATAAGGCTACCTCTCACAATTGACATCCCCGTTCCACAAAAACAATAGAAAGCATAATTATTTCTTACTTACTTTACTGATTTTTTACCTAAATCTTTACAACTTCTTTTCATATTGTACAGGTGTATTTATAAAAGATAAGAATTATAAATAAACAACAAATGCCACAGATCTCTAAAAATTGCCACAAGGCATTTGTCCATTTCACAAGTAAGGGCTGACATTTCATGTATCAGAGATTATAATTTAAAAGTTCAATAGGTGACTGAGATTGGCATATAGTATTATTAGCACAAATAGATGCTTTCTATTGAAATAAGACCCAAATGGCAATGTCTTTGTTATCCTTATTTTTTGTTTTGTTTTTTCCTTTGTTTGTTTGTTTCTAAGTCAGTGATTTATGAGGCTGGTCAGATTTGCCACACTGTAGAGTATAAAGATTTTTAACAAAGGCACATTACTAATCAGAAAATAATGATGACAGAGTCGCTGTTTTTCTTGTTTCCCCACATAAAAATGTTTAGGGATGATTCCATGGATAAAAAGTTTTATCTTGATTAGGAAATATTTGACTGCATGGAACAAAACCCACTAAAATCAGAAAACTAAGAGGAGACTACATTAGACGAGATAGTGTGGTATGGCCATAGACAGGAGATTGTATTAAAAAGGCACATGGGGTCCCATAAAACCCAGGGATTGAAAAGATGGGCACATAGGAAGTACAGTTTGAAGCTGGAAAATCAGAACCAAAGATGCATTTTTTTCCTCTTCTTCTCTCTCTCATATGCTCTCTTCTCTCTCTCTCTCTCTCTCTCTCATTCTCACTCCTTCTTTCCCAAATCCTCTTCACTCTCCTCTTCCGTGTCCCTCGGCCTATTATCAATTTCCTCTCTCATTTCCATAAATATATGGCCATATAAGCCCTAAATCTAAAGTAACCTTTCAGTATAAGAACCCAAGACTAGTAGGTTGAGGCTACAAGTCCTGGGGGAATTCCGATTGATTCAACAAAGCTATATAGAAGGGCTCTCTTGGGTCAGGTGTTCATCTGATTTGATCCATTTTGTCCACGTGTCAGGAGATGGGATAATGTTCAAACACGGCTGCTGGCCTTACTCCTGAGAGCAAGGAAAGTATTTCTCACAATGGGACTGGGCAAGATAATTCCAAAAAGTTTCTACTAAAAAAAGTATCAACTGAAAGATAAACTTGTGATTTTCCCCCCTTGATCAAAAGAAAGCATGCCAAAGACAATATTCTTTTTTGCATCACTTGTTACTGATGAAATATAATTATTTCATCATTAAAAGTACTGATGAAATACAATTATGTCATCATTAAAAATACTGGCAAAAATAAAGGGAAACTAGCAACAAACTTTTGATGATGAAAACGTTATAATAAATATTCCTGTGGGAAAGTACCTGACTGATAAATTAAAACATGGAGAAATAAACAAGAATCAAGTGCCATGCATTTTCCTCCACTTTGTTGTCAAGAAATTGAATGACTTCTAGTTTTAGAACACCTTCTCATAGAGTAAAGTTCTTCTATTACAACCCTCTGTGTCCTTGACCTTTGCTGCTCCTGTGCTATTCAAGTCATTGTTGTTTTAAACTTCTGAAATCACTAACACAGATGTCCTGAGGGGTGATTCTATAAAGAGTTGAGCACAAAATACTTTCGATAAAGAAAAAAAAAAAAAGAATAAAAATTTTGATTACGCAACCAATTATTTTTAAAACATCTTTATTCCTTTACATAAAGCTTCAATATATGCCTGCATTTGTGGTATCATCAGACTTCTATGGAAGCTTTACAAATGTGTTCAAAAGCAGTGGTCTCTAATCTTTAGTTTTGAGAATTACTTGGAGCGCTCCTAAGAGGCAGAATGCTGAGCTCCACTCTCAGACTTTATGATTTAGTAGATTCTTGGATGGGATTTGAGAATGTGCATTTCCCGGAAGTCCCCAGGTAATGCTGATGATACTAGCTCAGGGGCACTCTTAGAGAACCATCAGTCCACATAAAACAGGCAGGGTCATCGGATTTGGTGTCCCACATTAGGGTCCCTTTAAGGGTCACAGAGAAAGTGACACGTTGAGACAGAGGAGAATTACTGGGAAAGAGGTCGTTTGTTTTCTTTGCATAGTCAGCATAAACAAATGATTATTGGCGTTCTTAAAAGAAACATGCCTTAAGTAATTCCTAAATCTTAAGAAATAACCTTTACTCTTTATGCAAATAGTGTCTCTGTATGATAAATGTTTTTCCTTCCTAAGAGTTGACCCTGGGGAAACATTAGGAAAACTTTACAAACTAGGATTAATATGGATGTCAACTTTTATCACCTGAAGTTGAATAAGCATGAGTATAAAAGGATCAACTCTAACAAATACCTTTTATGCATGACAAAAATAATAGAAATTGGCTTTAAAAATATATATATTAGCAAAAATTTGATTTGGTTTTTTTTTTTTTTTTGAGTCTGGTTTTCACTTTGTCACCCAGTCTGGAGTGCAGGGGCATGATCACAGCTCACCACAGTCTCAACCTCCTGGGCTCAGGAGATCCTTTGGCAACAGCCTCCCGAGTAGCTCGGACTATAGGCACGTGCCACCACATGTGGCTAATTTTTTTTTTTTTTCTTTTTGTAGGATGAAATCTCGCTATGTTGCCCATGCTGGTCCCGAATTCCTGGGCTCAAGATACCGTCTCACCTCTGCCTCCCAAAGTGCTGGGATTATAGGCATAAGCCACCATACCTGCCCCCTATTTTTGATAAACACTGCATCCCTCATGCCCAGGATGGTGACTGGTGCATAATAAATGCTCAGTATATGTTTGCTGAATTAATTATTCATGCATTCAATATCAACCTAAGAAAGGAAAAAAAATACATATCATTCTTCCACATCCGGTGGCCTTGTTTTTGTCTACAGAGAAGAAAAAGAAAACCATGTGAAAAATAGACTATTCTTACTTTTAAGGAAATATACATTATCAAATTTTCTACAATTCTAATAGGACTTTCACAGCTGGGCTTCCTTTGACAATAGCAAAATGATTGTATAAGAGGAATAATGGAAATACCTGATCCCAGGAAACTGAACCATCATCTGACTCTTTGATCATGGATATAGACAGATTCGAGTAGCCCCGATCATGAATTGTTATGTCGTTTTGTTTCCTTTGAAGTTGATGGGTTGTATCCCTTTGGACACAGGAACTTCTGGTCCAGAGAGTGTTGAGGAGTTGATCTAGTTCTAGAAATTTCATATAAAGTCTGATGTCACATAGAATAGACAGGTCAAGTTCAGAATAATCACAATTTCACATGGCCACAGCATAGATATTCCCTTACAAAGATATTCCCATCATTTTAATGCTCTAGAGATGATGAACTGGGCGATTCCACCAATGAAAATGCCTTCCATCGAGACAAGTATTTTCTTTTTCTATACAAACGTAAATTAAAGATGATACTGATCTAATGCTTAGGAAATTTATTCTCTTGAGGCACTATAAACATCCTTAGTAGATTAACTATTACTTTAATGCAATTAAGTCAACAAAATTGTTTTCCTCTTAAGTGTATATGCAGAAAACAGAAAATAAATGAAAGGGAGCTGAGATTTCGGAGACAAACTAGACCTTGTTTTCTGATGCTCCTCCAATTTGGCTTTCAGTTTATAGATTGCAGTTTAGTTTCCCTCCACACACACAAAAAGAATGAAATATAATAGCAAATTTTTGTGGATTTAACCATCTTCTTACTTTTGAGTAAAATGTCTTTGGAATTTTCCTAAATGACAGCAAAGCAGTAAAAAAGTTACACACTAGAGTAATTATTTTATTTTGTTTTTTTTTGTGTTTTTTTTTTTTTTGAGTTGGAGTTTCACTCGGTCGCCCAGACTGGAGTGCAGTGGCCGCTCCCGGCCACCGCAGCCTCGACCTGCTGGGCTCCAGCGATCCTTCCGTCTCAGCCTTCCGAGTAGCCAGAATTACAGGCGCACGCTACCACGCCTGGCTAATTTTTTGATTTATTGTAGAGATGAGGTCTCGCTGCCCAGGCGTGGGCTCAGGCAATCCACTCACCTCAGCCTCCCAAAGGCACGGGATTACAGGCTGAGCCACCGAGCCCGGCTGAGTAATTATTTTAAATGACACATTTTCAACAAAAAAAACCCTATAAAACTTGCAGAGAAATAGGAAAGTGTGACCTATATTCAGGTAAAAAGGACTCCATAAATGCATCTCTTAGTACTCCCAGATGTTGGATTTAGCAGACAAAGACTTCAAAAGCAGCTGTTATATGCAGTTTATGGAACTAAAAATTATATTTTCAAAATTAAAGAAAAATTTGACGATAAATCCACCAACAGCAATTTTTAATAAGGAAGTCAATGTTTTATATAAGTCCAAATGAAACTTCTGGAGTTGAAGAATATTTAAACAAATAAATAGTAACTAAAACAAAAAATTCACTAGAAATACAATGCTCTTGAGAAGGCAAAAGAAAAAAAATCGCTGATCACGAATATGGATTAATAGAAATAACCCATTCTAAAAAGACAGAAAGAGTTTACAAAAGGTTCAGGGATCTGTAACAAAGGCAAATATGCCAACATATACGTATTGGCAGTCACAGAAAGAGAAGAGAAAGAATCCGACAAAAAAACTGGAGGACTGTGTGAGGAAAATAATAAAACTTTCCACAAACACAAAATACAGATACAGACAAATAGAAAGACATTAATATTACATTCTTGGATATAAAGGTGCAACATCTTATAAATTTCTCCCTAATTTTATAATTTTTTAAATAATCACAGTAAAATTAGCATTTTTTCCTCCAGGGCTTGAAAATTTGATGTTTGTTAGGAAGAAAAAACAAGCCAATAACATCCTGAAAAAAAGAACAGTGAAGAAAAATAGCTATACCAGACATTGAAATATACTGTAACACCTTTATAAGTAGAATAGTATGGTACTGGCAGATGAATAGACAAGCTGGCCAATAGAACAGAAGAAAGAAGCCAGAAATAGACTCAACTGCATTTAGAAATTCTATTTGTTATATTAAAACATCTTAAATCAGTGGATGAATTAATATATTTTAAATAAAATTATAATAAAAATTGTACAGTCATAGAGAAAAAATAGGTCTATTCCTCACAATATACACCAAAATTAATCCTAAATGGATCAGAAATATAAACATTTAGGTATCAGGAAAAAATATGGATGAATTCATCTGCAATCTGAGAATGCAGGAAACTTTCTTAAGTATAACAAAATCCAAAAGCAGTAAGAGAAGGTTTGATTAATTTAATTATATAAAAATAAAAAAGTATTTGGAGACATGACTGATTCCAGGTTTGGGCAGGAAATGTACAAGATAAGCCTAAAATATCTTGTTATATTGGAAAGCTAGGGAGATACAAAATAATTTAATGATTTTGTCAAAAGGACTTAGAACCTACTTGCATAAGATTCTGGTCAAAGAGGAAACAATAGGAACACCAGTTAAGATAATAATAACAACAGATCAAGAGATATGAAATAAAAATGATGTGAAATAATTAATTGTTCTTTTTTGAAGGATGCAAAGGAATTGTGTTATTATTTTAAAAGCTGGTAAATTAAAGTATCTAGAATTTATTCTTTCCTTTAAGAATCTCAGTAAAATGAAATAATGATGAGAGAGTTTTTCCATTACAGGATTATTATACCATCTCACATCAATCAGAATGGCTATTATTAAAAAGTCAAAAAAAAAACAGATGCTGGCAAGGTTGCAGAGAAAAGGGAACACTTATACACCGTTGGTGGGAATGTAAGCCAATAAAGCCCCTGTGGAAAGCAGTTTGGAGATTTCTCAAAGAACTAAAAATAGATGTACCATTGTACCCAGCAGTCTCACTACTATCTATACCCAAAGGAGCATAAATCATTCTACCAAAATGACACCTGCATTCGTATGTTGATTGCAGCACTATCCATAATAACAAAAACATGGAACCTACCTAGGTGCCCCTCAACAATAGACTTGATAAGGAAATTATGGTACATAGATACCATGGAATACTACGTAGCCATAAAAAATAATAAAATCATGCTCTTTGTAACAACAGGGATGCAGCTGGAGACCATCATTCTAAGCAAATTATCACAGAAACCGAAAATGGAATACCATGTATTCTTGCTTATAAGTGGCAGTTGAACACTGAATACACACAGGCATAAGGACAGAAACAACAGACACTGGGAACTCCTAAAGCAGAGACAGAGAAAGGTGATACAGGTTGAAAAACCATGCACTGGGGGCCATGATCACCACCTGCGTGACGGGTTCAATGGAAGCCCACTCACTATTGTACACTATCGTACAATATACTTGTGTAATATCTGAACATGTACCCCTAGAATCTAAAATAAAATTCTTTAAGAAAGAAAAAGAAATGAAAGAATTAGATCACCATTGTGCAAGCCCTAAATAATTAATCAATCTAGGCAATGATCATGATAGCTTATAATTTCTCAAACTGAGACAACCAGCTGTTATATGCCTCTGATGGAAGGTACTAACTATAAAACACTTAAGCATCCTAAAATGAATTGTGCCTCTGTCTATAACAAGCAATATACATAAAGCATAATGCATAGAAATACATGGTAAATGACTTGGAATGTAATCAGTAAAATCCAGATGGTAAACACCCCTTTTCCCCCCCATACAAGCAAAAATTTTAAAAAGTAACAAAATTGAGAAGATGGAGGAATCATGATATTTATAAAAGAAACTTAGACATACCAACACTTTGCATTTCATGGATCTTATTTGAATTCTGATTCAATACAAAATTTAAAAAATGTTAAATCAGAAATATGTGAGCATTGAGTTTTGTATGATATTAAGAAATCATTATTAATTTTAAGTTGTGATACTGGTAATAAGGTGCTTTCCAAAAATATCCATCTCAGAGTATTTTTTTATGTAGACTTTAAAAATTAATCAGTTCACTTTTAATGCCTTGTCAAGTACAAAGAAAGTGCAAAATAAACATCCTAATTCCATTCCTGACATTTCATTTCATCTTGGCGCCCCAGGAACTCCCCAATTACATTCAACAAGATGAATATTTAAAAAATATTTTGATTTATAATTAAATGACATATGTTTATGTCATACTGCTACCAAATGACTTACCCCATTCAGATACTACTTCATTCTACACAACAGTTTGTCACACCTGGCCCAGCGTTATGTCCCAAATAAAAAAATGTTCAATTACTGCTCGTGGCATAAAAATCTCTCCCTCTGGCTCAACAGCAATAATTTCAATCACTGCAGAAATGGGCCAAGTTCATGGTTTTGCAGCATCACCACGTAGATACCATAGCACATGTGCCCCAAAAGGCTGCCTGAGCTGCCTGACTACATGCCAAGATACAATGGTGTTTAAAGCATACCTGGACAAATTCAGTCATCAGAAACTTCAGCCTTTGTTTTCAGTACAGTTTATTTAGTAGGTGTGACTTGGAAGTTTCAATACATGAAAAACATCCTTACCTGATAGGTGGAGGGTATCTGTACTATTCAAAGAACTGAAAATATATTCTGTAAAATAATCTGGGGAAGGCAAGTTTCCTTGTCCCAGACAAACACCTTGGAGAGACAAAGCAATGATCGTGGCCGCCAGTTGAGGAAGCGTATTTTCATCAGCACCGTCACTGCTTAGTATTCCAGATTTTTTCTGCAGTGTTTTGGTTTCCATACACTGAAATCAGATACAAAATAAGGAGAATTTTGTTGTTTTTGTAGAGATCAGGTCTTGCTATGCCACCCTCACTGGTCTCAAACTCGTGGCCTCAAGCGATTTTCTCAGCCTTGACCTCAGTGCTGGGATTACAGGCATGAGCCACTGCCTTCAACCAAAAGAAAATTTGAGTTTCTGAAGTTATTTTGGTTAAAAAATCTCTAAAAATGAGCCAGGTGTGGTAGCGCGCACCTGTAGTTCCAGTTACACTGAAGGCTGAGGCAGAAGGATCGCCGGATCCCAGTGGGCGAGGCTGTGGTGGCCGGGAGTAGCCACTGCACTCCAGTCTGGGTGACAGAGTGAGACTCCAACTCAAAAAAAAAAACAAAAAAAAAAAACCATAAGGAATAGTTAATCTAACAGAAAATTGAATTATTTGTGGGAATATGACTATCATCATTCTTCTGTCGCAGATATAACTCTATCTGGAAAATACTTCTTTCTTTCATCTGCCATGACACTGAATTTTCCAACCTCCCTGCCATGGGTCCTTGATTATTTAGTCTTTCTCATTACCGTCTCAAAGGTGTGTGTTCTCCAAGGAGATCTCCTGCTCTCACTGTTTAACGTCCTTTCAACCATGAATTGTTTATCTCTCAGCTTCAAGAGTGACCTGCAGGTCAATGGCTTTCAAATTGGAATTTTCTACCCCGACTTCACACAGGCTCTGCTGCCTTGTCTCAGCATGTGGTACCTCCAATTCACAGCTGCCTATAGTCTCATGCCCAGTGTGTGTTCACTACAAATCAAAGTTAGCACAGTGTCTGTGCTCTTTGAACTTGCAGAGGTCGTAGGATCTTTTCCATAGGTGTGTGTCATTTTTCTGTGATTAAGTTATGAGCATCTGAAAGGCTCAAATTTTAGCATTTTTGTTTTTTGAGACAGGGTCTCCCTTTGTCACCCAAGCTAGAGTACACTGAAGCCTCCTCACCTCCTGGGCTGCTCAGGTGATCCTTCTACCTCAGCCTCCTAAGTAGCTGGGACTACAGGCACATGCCACCACACTGAGCAAATTGTTTGGTTTTTTTTTTTTGTAGAGATGAGATCTCACTATGTCGCCCAAGTTGGTTTTGAGCTCCTGGGTTCAAGCAATCCTCCCACCTCAGCCTCTCAAAGTGCTAGAATTACAAGCGTGAACCACTTTGCCAGCCTTTGAATTTAGTGTTTACCATGTGCCAGATACTATACTAAGTCCATTACGTATGAGGTGAAGGAGAAAATAAACTTATCAAAAGAGGAGTCAAGGGAAGGTTATTGTGTCAAAGTTGCATTCTTATGACACACGACTAGGTGTAAAAAGTGCCCATTGGATTTTTTTTTGTTGTTGTTGGAGTCTCACTCTGCTGGCTAGGTTGGAGTGCAGTAGCAAGCTCACGGTTACCATAGCCTTGCTGCTGGGCTCAGCAATCTTCCACTCAGCCTTCCAAGTAGCTGGAATCACAGACTTGTGCCACCACACCCAGTTAATTTTTGATTAATTGTAGAGATGAGGCTTCACCAAGTTGTCCAGGCTGGTCTCGAACCCCTGGGCTACCATCTGCTTTTAAGTACTGGGTTTCCTTTTCCATTTCATCTCCATCAAAAGGCAGTAATTGGTAGAATGACTTAAATTCTAGTGACTGATTTAGATCAACCATGTATTAGATAGATGTGGCACTGGATAAATTATATGTACACCTTCAGATTTAAGCAGGAAACTGAATTCTGTAAAATAACCTCTTTTTTTGTCCTTTTCTTTTTGAGAGATGGGGTCTTGCTCTGTCACCCAGGTTGAAGTGCAGTAGTGCAATCATAGCTCTGTAACCTCAAACTCCTGGACTAAAGTACTCCTCCCCTCTCAGTTCCTGAGTAGCTAAGAGTTGATGGGCGCGGGTTCGAGACCCCCTGGGCAGTGAGACCTCATCTCTACAATAAATCAAAAAATCAGCTGGGCGTGGTAGCGCATGCCTGTAATTCTGGCTACTCGGAAGGCTGAGGCGGA